GATTTCTGTCATCAGAAAAGAAAGAAGTAGGAGGAGGGCTTAGCTCTTGTAAAGCTTGTGCTTAGTATGCAAAGGCCCTGGGTTGAAACCCCAGGACTAGGAGTAAAAGCAAAGGAAGAAGCATCTATGAATGCTTTCATGTGTAAGACAGAGTGGATATATTCTTTTGTAAGTTATCCTATTTTAGGGCAAATTCTAACCGAGCTCATTCTAGAAAAAATTCCACCAGACACATTTTATAACAAACCCCACTATCATTAGTGTTAGTTGAAAATAACACAGATGTTTAACTTTCTCTTTCCTTTATCTGGGTATAGGGCTAAAGAAGTTTAGATTGGCAGCTCCTTGCACAATTTTCAACCATCATAATTAATTGTGCCTACTTATGATACATCTAAAAAATATCCATAATGTATTCAAACATATTGAATGCCAAATATAGTAGTATCAAGAAAAAAAAAGATTCATATCTGTTTTTCCACTTAGTAACAGCAACATTTTTCATTTTATCTAAAGACTTACTCCTGGAGAGAATTTAGTAAAGTAATAGGATGTTTGCAGGTTGGGACTTACAATACATAGATTTTCTACATATTTTTCTGGGGTGAAAAATCAGAAATATTCCAACCTGGTAAGGGTTAACCCTAGTAAGGGAACAGATGTTTTTGATTTTAATTACTAAAGAAAAGAAATTTAAGTACAGACACAGGTTCTTTCTTAATCTAATTCTTTTATTTCAATAAGCAGTAAGTTCTCCAGTTCTTACTGAAAAATATAGCAGATGGGAATGTGCTCTCTCAAATTAGCAATCACTGCAGAGGCTGTTCAATATTTGATCTGGTCTCAGGGATCCATCGGTGTAGTTTAATGGATGAAATAACTCCCTCCATTAAAGATAGCCCTTCCGGGCCTGGGATTTAGCTCAGTGGTTTCGCCACCTGCTGCGCAAGCGCAAGGACCTGAGTTTGATCCCCAGTACCAAAAAAATAAAAAGATAGCCCTTCCACAGCCTGCATTCCTGACTCACAGGAATGCTGACATCTCTGCAAATAATCGCTCTGTATCAAAATTGAGGATCAAACACCAAGCAAAAAGAAAAATTTTGTCTTCAGTATTTCAATTTATTAGACTTTGTAATAAATCATTTATAAAGTAGGTCTAAGTTTCTATGGCAAAATAGCAGGATTGGGTAACCCCTGGGGGATAATCAGATTAATTTAAATTCTTGACACCTTTGCTGTGCTGGGGATCAGGTGGAGAAGAATGGGACTCACAGCACCTCTCTATTCCCAGACCTTCCTCCAGGTGCCTCAATCTCAGACTGCTACAGGTGTATATGACCTTGCTTTCTGAAGGTCACTTGCCCCTGCAAAGCAGCATTCATCCTCTTTAGAATGTCTGTACCGTGTGTGTGTGTGTGTGTGGGTAAAAAATCCAAGCTGATTATAATATATGTATTTATAAAAGGAAAACTTCTCTCCTGTTTTCTTTTTAGGAGCCATTTCTTGAAGCTACTATTTAGCAAATTTAAAAGGCATAGCAAACATCTCTGAGGCACAGTAAGAAACTATTATGCCACATGGAAATCTTTTCTAATTCTAGACATCTGACTTAATGGATAGAGCATACAGTATGTACAAGTTTATAATAAATACTAAGTAAATATTTGCTGAGTGAATGGGGGTGCATACACTATGCTTACTATTTTTTTAAATGGATAATTTTATCCAAGTTTCCAGTGTGGTTAGAAGCTCTCTGCTGCAATTTATAGTGGTACTGTTCTGTGTCATCTTTAGTCAATGGTGGTATGGCAGAGAATGAAGCTGTTTTAGCACAAATACTCCTATATAAGTTACCAGCAACTGGATTTCTAAAGTTAAAATTTTAATTCATCTTTGGAGAAGTCTTACTTTATATAAGAAAAGTCCCAAAAGGATCATTTATTTTGGGAATGCAAATACCTACTTCTTAAGGATAAAGTTGTCATATACCTGAATGAAGATGCACACGTGAAAATACTTTGCAGTCCATAAAGTAGTGTATATGATGGACATTTGCTCCTGTATAAGGTATTGATAGGATTGTTGGTGTCCCACAGATGGTGTTTTTTTTTTTTTAATCTCAAATAACCAAGGTTCTTGGACACAGGACTGAAATGTGTGAGGTAAAATCGTATCTTATCGGTTGGTTGGTTGCAATTTTCTTCAAGAGGAAAATAATCTTGTTGCCATTAATCATCCTTGGATTCAAATGGTCAGTTTTAGACTAGGGGAAGGGAAGATCTGTTGTTCTCTCTGGGAAATGAATATATCTGTAAAATGCCAATAATACATAGTAGCTGAGCTATTATCTGCTGGGAACAAAGCAAGAACTTCAGATCTTCAGTGTAGACTTGTGGTAACTACTAGCTGTGTATTTTTGTATCCCATCTTATTTATTCCCAAGCACTTAATAAAGTTTTATTAATACCACTGCCTTTGTTGCCTTGATTAGGGGAGTTAAAGAGAGGTAGGATGAAGATATGTTGGGTTAGGGAGTGGGCAGCCACAACATAGCAGGAGATGACAGCTTCTCTGATATGCAGTGGTTCAGGGTGAGAATGTTGGGGTAAGGCGTTGACTCACCAACATGGTAGATTTATGAAACAAAAATATATTGCTGGATTTTCATCAATGTCTTAGAGAGCAGAAGTCAAAGGAAGGATAGACCCTACAAGAATTCTTGGGTAGAGGTATAACATCTTTGTGATTTTTATTTGTATATGAACTTTTAATAGCATGGCTCTTGTGAATCTCAGTGAGTGAAGTCTGCATGAATTCCTTTTTTCTTTATTTTCGACAAAATTTCTGAATTTTGACACTGAGGCCTCATTCTGTCAGAGACAGGAGCTTCAATCTGTCAGTCTGAGTCTTTCATTTCCCTGATCTTATTCCAGAGTTCTGTTTCAACAACTTCTCTGTCATCTGATGATGCTGTTTTTTGGAGTCTCTTGTCCGAGGCAGCTTGATCATTAAATGTCTACTGCTTGGCCACATCCAAGCCACACAGAATATGGGATTCTACGTAGGAAGCTGAGGTTATATACAAATACAGGCAGATTCTAGCTCTTTATAAAAACAAAGTAGTAGAAGGTCTATTTGGTTTTATTTTGTTTGTTTTGTAATAAACCTCAAGAGTCAGAAAGCTATCAGTGTGAATCTAAAACTCCAACTACTTCCTATTTTTTTTTTTTAAAATCAAGTTTGGAAACCCTGTCTAGTAGGTAGGCAGGATCCATAGCCAGATTGTGCATAGTTAAATAGTACAGATGACTCACCCTAGTTTGTAAGGAGCAGTTCCCCTCTGAGGATTGTCATCAGTCTGGAAGCAAAAGTGTGAGAGCTGTGCGTGAAGTCCTTCAACCATGCTTTAAAATGTAGTTGCTGGCAGACACATCACATGTATTATTAAAATGCATTTTCTGGGTCCTAAACCAGAAGCCAGGAGAATACATTCTTACTGATCACTCTTTCTTAAAAAAATTCAATATTTATTGGTAGTTTTAAAAGTACAGAGCTGTAAAAAGCCAGGGATTTAGCTCAGTGGTTCCACTGACTACCTCAAAAGCACAAGGTCCTGAGTTTGATTCCCTGTAGGAAAAAAAAAGCTTGGGCCGGAATTTAGCTCAGTGGCATTGTGCTTGCCTTGTAAGCACAAAGTCCTGAGTTCGATCCCTGGTACCAAAAAAAAAAACAGAGCTGTGAAGGCTATAAATAGACACCACCTTTAACAAAATTTTCAGCAAGAAAGATATTGAAATACTGATCACTGCTGCTTAGTAGATTTGAGAATCTCTATGAAAGCAATACTGATCAGGTTTAGCCCATGCTCACCCACTTTCTCTCTCTCATGTCCCTTCTCATTATAATCAGCCTTACATTTAAGGAGACTCTATTGTGTCTGTGAAATCCTGGGTAATAACAGTGGTGAGTCTCATGTTCATTAAGCTTCTAACACTTACTTTATTTATTATTGTGCCTGAAAGATAGACGAGTTTTGATGAGTATTTGTTCAATGGGTTGAATTACATTGAGAAGTAGCAATACAGTCATGAGAGATCTAGAGCAGTCTGCCTGAATAACATTATACCATTATACTAAGTACCAAAGTCTTTCTAACAGTTAGTGCCTAGTTGTTCCCTTTGGCAGGGAAATAGTTCACTTGAGAGGTGAGTGGGAGAGAAATATGACATGATTCATTCTAGTCCATCAGTTACAAGACAGATTTCCTTTCCTCATTCTCCATTTTTCTTGCCATTATTTTTTTGCTGCTCACAGCTATGTGATAAAATCATAACAGAGGAGTGTATTTTGCTTTGGTCTTAGTTGTAGTCCTGAGGGAAAAATCAGTGCTGTTTGTTTTCCCAGGAAGATGTTATCCCAGGACAGTTTTCCCAAAGGACTGTTGCTCGCTCTCTCTTTTTTTTAAATTGCTTTAGTTTTACCTCATTTCTACCCTTGCTAATGTTATAAAATGCCATAAAGAAATAAACTCCAGGGGACATGAAAGGACAGACCTTATGGCCATTTGCTCTGCTGGCAAAGATTCATCTCTTCAGTACTGCATGGAACATTAAAGAAGGTGAAGCTGGCCCTCCACAACAGCTATCTGTTCACAGCACGGGATTGGTGCCACCCTTCCCCTCAGTGTGACAGACCTTTGCTAAAATGATAATGCTAAATTCTGTCCTGTCCAGTTTTACGTTCCTCTCTCTCCCTCTGCTACCAGGCAGGAATGTTTAAAAACAATATTCTGCAGCTGTGTGGTTATGTGACTACTTCTGTCTAAGCAGGAAACATTCAGTGTTGGCTTCTGAATGCTTCCCTTTCTTTTGTTTCCTTCTAATATGAACATTATAGAAAACATTCAAACCCATGGACTTGAACTTGAAAGGCTACTTGTGTTCTAGACACTACCTTAATGACTCAATGCACTTTTATTGTTTCCTTAACTGGGAATCTTCACAAATCTTCATCAGAGACCACAGGAGTAAGGCTAGTAGAGAAAATGGGGGCATCTTCTAAACAATTTGGGGGGTCCTCGACCTCTTGGGAAAGATGACAACTTTGCTCAGCTCCCAGCTGCTGAATCTTCCTTTCCTTTTCTTCCAGAGCTGCTTCCAGCTGAATGACCCTCTCAGTCTGAAGGGAAAGCTGTGTCGACAGCTCCATAATCAAGCTGATTTTCCTGTCAACTTCTTCCACAGGCAGGAGACCCTCGCAGCACCCGTCCAGCAAGTCAGCTGCTGAAGCAGACAAGAAAAGGAAAATCTGAGCTCTTTTAATTGGGGTTCCCAAAACATAAAAGAGAGGGAAGATGAAAAAGCCTTATTTCTCACGTTCTAAAAGGAAAGCAGAGATCTTACAGCATCTGGTTAGATATACTGAGAAGGGAATCCAGACCCAGTGAGGGGGAGATTCTGATGCTCCTAAAGGAACTTGGAATCCTCTTGAGAGTGAGGAAAATCAGCCTCTGCCAACTCTTTTTTTTTAATATTTTGTACTTATTTAACTTGCAATTAGCTATGGGAATGAGTTGACCTTGAAAATTAACCTACAAACAGCAGTCATCCAGGCTTGATGTTATCCTCTTCCCTCTGAACCTTTCACAAGAGCTACAATCAAGTAGAAATAGGCTTTGAATGAATTTTTTATTTAATTGAGAAATTATCATTGCCTCTTCTGGAGAAAATGATAGAAAAGATGGATTTCCCAATCCAAGTCAGCTTTAGAGTTGGGAGGGGTGTAACTTGAAGTGATCCAGGAAACTACTGTATTTGTACAGCATCTCCTGTAAAGATTCAGTTCTTTGAAGTCTGAAGACTTTCTAGCATTTTCCAGAAAAATTGCAAATTTCTCCTGCTCATAAAAGCTCATCCTTTGCCAATGTATGCCACCTAATCCCTCAGATAAGGATAAAAGATCTGGGTAAGGAGGGAGAGAGAGAAGCTCCAACAAAGAGACAAGAGATTAGTGATTGGCACCAGGAAGTCCTTGAAAACAAATCTCAGCAGCCCATCCAAAACTTTAGCTCCATGAAGTAAACCTTATATCTAGACTTTAGCAGCACTTTCCTTCTCTTTCACTCTTTTCTTGAAAATTTCACCATCAAATTTCTCTAAACTATATAAAAGGAATACTTAGATATAAGAAGAAAAGGAAGTCAAGGGCTTGGATATCATTTTAGGAATAATGGAGTCATTAGTGTATGAATGAACCTGACACATGGCCTGGACATGTGATTACTATAACTTAAGGTCCAATATTTACTCATTCATTAGTGAAAAGAATCCTCATAGCTGCACCTAAGAAAAAATTCCTGTCAGGCCAGGATACAAAGCCTGCTACTGTTGTGTACCACATATCTAAACATGAGGCAGGCAAGACATCACCTATTTCTCAGCAAAGAAGACTGGCTGTCATCACTTTCTTTAAGGATGGTAGGATGAAAGCTTGATCACCACATTGTCCAGTACAGAATCTTTTTGGTTTCATAAAACTGTTAAGAAGATAGCCAGGCGAGGTGGCATATACCTGTAATCCCAGCACTTGGGAAGAGGATCACCATGAATTTGAGGCCTGCCTGGGCTACATAGTGAGTTCAAGGCCAGCCAGAACTACATAGCCAAGACCCTGTCTCAAAAAACAAAAGTGTTAAGAGGAGAGATTAGGCCATTCTCTGCTCTTAGACATTATTATTAATAATTATTAAATTTGGAGCCAGGGATTTAGCTCAGTGTTGCCGCCGCCTGGCTCGCAAGTGCAAGGTCCTGAGTTTGATCCCAGGTAACAAAAAATAATAATAATAATAATTACTAAATTTTGACCATCCACATGTATTCTTTTGTTCTGGTTATTTGAAATTCTAATGTTAATATTTAAGAAGATGGTGGCTTTGAGGCAGATTAGGGCACAGCAAAGTGGCTGGGCAAGCAGGTGTGATCTGTCCATCACAGAGATTCAGGACACATCTGCACAACAGCTTCCAATCAGAGAATGCCTGGTCCCAATCAGAGAATGCTATCTTCAATTCTTCTAGCACAAGATCAAGCAGGTTTTTTATAGGATGGCCTAGATCTGACATAAAAGATGCCATCATAATTGTGTTACCAGCCATCATGCTGGTGCCTCTAGCTCGCCAAGCTCCAGCTGAAGAAGTGGGTGAGGGGTCTTATACTATGTCTCCAACGTAGCAGACTGCCCACAAATCTACCAGTGGTAAAGCGCCCGGGAAACAACTGGCCACAAAAGCCGCTTGTAAGAGTGTGCCCTCTACTGGAGGGGTGAAGAAACATCATCATTACAGGCCACAGACTGTGGCAGTCTGTGAAATTAGACATTATAAGAAGTCCACTGAACTTCTGATTCAAAAACTCCCTTTCCAGCATCTGGTGCGAGAAATTACAAAGGGCTTCAAAACAGATCTATGCTTTCAGAGCGCAGCTATTGGTCATTTGCAGGAGGCAAGTGAGGCCTATGTGTTTGAAGATACCAACCTGTATGGCACCTCTGCTAAATGTGTAACAATTATGCCTAAAGATATCCAAATAGAATGTCACATACCTGGAAAATGTGCTTAAGAGTCCACTATGGTGGGAAATGTTCTCAAAAATTTTTTCTCTTTTCTTTCTGTTATTGGTAATTTTGAATGTTAGATATTTTTTCCCTATGGGGTCAAAGGGTAGCTAAGTACATGATTGAGAGTGGAAAATAGGGAACAGAAATCAGGTATTGGCATTTTTTCCATTTTCATTTATATGTGAATTTTTAATATTAATGCAAGGATATAAAGCATTAATGCACCAGGGGATTAAAAACTCCATTGAAAGTATTCACAGCAGGTTAAGGGAATGTGAAGATAGACTATCAGTTATAGAAGACAGGATTGCGGTTAGTGACCATGAAAACACATTTCATAAAATTAGTAGGGGACCATGAGAAATCCATCCAGCAGCTGCTAGATGATGACAAGAAGAATAACATAAGACTGATAAGAGTCCATGAAAAGGCAGGAGAAAGTACAAATGACATAAAAAACTGTTCACAGAAGTAATAGAAGAAATTTTCCCAGACAGAGGTAGAGAAATGGACATACAGATAAGTGAGGCATAGAGAACTCCAAGTAGCCACAATCAACAAAAAGTCTACATATAGAAAATCTACAATCTAGACATATAATAGTCAAGATCCCAGAAACCCAACAGAAGAACAAAATCCTACAAGCAGTTACAGAAAAGAAACAAATCACTTACAAAGGAAACCCCATCAGAATCACAGCAGACTTCTGAACACAAACCTTCAAGTCAAGGAAAGACTGGAGTGAAGTATTTCAAGCCCTAAAAGAAAATAACTTCTAAACTAGACTGTTGCATCCTGCAAAATTATCTTTCAAAATTGATGGGGAAATTAGATACTTCCACAACAAAGAACACCTGAGAAATTTCATGAACACAAAACCAGCACTCCAAACAATTCTAAACAATAGCCTAGAAAAACACAATGAAGGTCACAACTCCATGAGGCCCAACAGAATGAAGCCACCAGGCAAGGCAAGAAACTAAAGGGAAAGGGGGAAAAATAAAACAGCCAACAACAGTAAAACATCATGACAAGGATGAGTCAATATATATCAATTATAACCATCAAGGTTAATGGCCTCAATTCATCAATCAAAATAAATGGACTGGCAGAATGGATTAAGAAGAACAATCCAACAATATGCTGTATAAAAGAAACACACCTAACTCAAAAAGAAATTCAAAGACTGAAAGTAAAAGGATGGAAAATAGTTCTCCATGCGACAGGAACCCAGAAAAAAGCAAGGGTAGCAATCTTATTCACAGATGAAATAGATTTCAAACCAAAACTAATTAAGAGAGACAAAGATGGTCATTACATTCTTGTGAAGGGAACAATCCGAGAGGAAGAGATGACAATCATAAATATGTATACACCAAATATGAATGCCCCCAACTATACAAAACAAATATTAATGCACATGAAAAACCAAATAAGCACTAATACAATTGTAATAGGGGACCTCAATACCCCACTGTCACAAATAGACAGATCATCTAGACAATAAATCAACAATGAAATTCTAGAACTGAACCAAGCTATTGAACAAATGGACTTAAAAGATGTTTACAGAGTGTTCCACCTCACAAAATCAGAATATACATTTTTTTCAGCTGCACATGGGTCATTCTCCAAAATAGACCACATGCTAGATCATAGGACATGTTTCAGTAAATGTAAAAGAATTGAAGTTACCCCCTGTATATTATCAGACCCTACTGCAATAAAATTGGAGATCAATAGCATAAGAAACTGCAAAACCCCCACAAACACATGGAAATTGAATAACATGCTCCTGAACAACCAATGGGTCACAGAAAAAATTAAAGAAGAAATTAGACAGTTTCTACAAGTAAGTGATAATGCCAGTACAACACACAGGAATCTACGAGACACAATAAAAGCAGTTCTATGAGGGAGATTCATAGCAGTGAATGCCCATATTAGGAAAACAGAGAGCTCAAATAAACAACCGAATGCAGAACCACAAGATCCTAGAAAAAGAAGAGTATGACAAACCCAAAGGTCATACAAGAAAGGAAATTATAAAGATCAGAGCAGAAATCAATGCAATGGAGACTAAGAGAATGATACAAAAAAACTCAATGAATCAAAGAGTTTGTTTTTTGAAAGAATAAATAAAATCAATAAACCTTTAGCCAACCTTATCAAAAAAAGGAAAGAAAAGGCTCAAATCCATGCATTTAAGGATGAAAAAAGTGAAGTCACAACAGACCCAGCAGAAATCCAGAGGATCATCAATACCTACTTTGAGAACCTGTACTCTAAGAAAATGGAAAACACAGAAGAAATGGACAGATTCCTAGATACACATGAATTGCCAAAGTTAAATGAAGA